AAAATAATATGTCATAAATTTGAGGAATACAACATATGAGAAGTTATATCTAGATTTATTCTCTGGGACAATAAAACCATAACGCGTGTAATACTYTTAAAATTGCTTTTCCGATAAATAAAGTAAAGGCAAAATTTACAAGCACTTAAAATAAAATTATTCTTGACATAAGCTGCAATATTATAAAAATTGAATTATAAACCAGTCACAATTTTATTAAAAATAATATTAAAGAAAGTCTTAAATTTTATCTTTTCCGACTCAATAGTTTTCAACGACAGAAATTGCAGAGAAAAGAATCTAGCACTCGTAACGTTAACGTCTATAGAAAGATACATTGCAAATTGCGTGTAGATAAAATGAAATCTTCCAACAAGAAATTCATACATAAATCACCACGAAAACTTTGGAATAAAACAAAAACTTTTACTTGGTCCGACACAATTACATTATATTTTACTAAAAAGTTGATAGATAAAAAGCGATTAAGATGTTAACATTTAACTATGCAACGGTAAACCAACAATTTCCACAGCTTGGGTGGGTTAAATCCACAAACGAGTGGAAACTGTTTTTTTAAATCATTACTGAGGGAACGAAAAAATCTCTAGTCTAGATTACGGATACCTAAAGAATTAGTTCTCCGTAGTCTAGATATAATGATTATTACTTTTTCACTAGGTGAGAACAGAAAGAAAGTCGAGTTACTGAACACAATTTAAAATTTATTAAGTTTTAAATAATAAAAGAAGTCATGAAAGTGCCTTGTTTTAGACTTGTCTATGTAGACTTTATAAATATAATATCAAATTTAAAAAGAACTCATTTTTTGTATGTATGATAAAAAGCTCTGCAGAAACTGGTTTAAAAAACAAACCCACACTTGTCATAAGTACAGTTAGAGCATTTGAAGAAACAGGTCGTTAGTGTAAATTAAATGAAGTAATAATTTAATTACACGTCGTGAAAGCGCGCAGACTTGCACCAAAAGCTCTAACAGAATTAGTATTGCTCCAACTAAAGCAACCGCATCCTTCTATAAATTTACAAACTTTGGCAGCCAGACTACCATATCGAGAAGTTTATAAGTTGGATGTTTTAAAATTTGTTCCTTAATCTTTTGTCAGGAACGAACTTATTTTCCACTCAACCGCTCCATGTGAGCGAAAAAATTATGACATTTCGTCCTCTTGATTTATAATAAAACATATCCTTTAAAAGCTTTTGCGAGTATGGGGTAGTTTACAAAAACTGCTTTTTAGGTGGTAAAAAAAAAGATCAATTTTAGTTAAGCCTGTCATGTGATTACGACTTGGTTTCAGGATGTTTATGAGCTTTATTGAAATTATCCAGGTTGCAAATTCACCGGAGACGTTTAACATTGTGAAACGGTGAGCTTTGTTCGAGTCTACTCGTGTAGAAAGCTCGTCTGTTACAATCCATTGATTACTTATATGGCTCAAGTTCGAGCCCTGATATCTTATGCACAATTTCACGAGAAAATACTTTTCTTCTTCGCTCATAGTCTTCCATAGTACAGAATTTTAATTTCAATTTAAAAATTCATCTGCTCTATTCTAGTCCAGTGCTCACAAAACTTTACTCAATGAAAAACTTTTCCCAATTTATAATGTAAAACCTTAAATTAACATAGAAAGTTATCTGGAAATCACAATCTTTAAACAAGTAACTCATCACCTTACTCATCGCATTGTTTGGAATTTTAGACACTTAAAACTCTTGATATAAATAGCATATGACGGTTGATAACATAAAGTGGCAAAATAATAAAAAATGGCATCACCTAAAAGATAGTGAGGGTGAACGCTTACTACAAGAACAAATCTCAAAGTGGTAAAGCTATAAATCGGATTTTATCGTTGATTAGCTTGTTTAAATCTAAATCCATTTAGTATACTTAGTTATAAAACAATTGACAAAAAGTTGTTGGCAACTACCAAACAATTTATCAAATCGATATGATAAGATATAATGTCTCAATGCCACAACAGTATAAGTAAACAAAATGTTAAAACAGTACATTTAGTTTACGGGTATAGTATATTGTTTTTTACTTAGAAAAGTCTTCCACCAACTTAATGCTCTATAAGCTCGGGTTGCTGTAAGTGACGTTAATGTGGGATGATACCAAT